TTTTTTTGTATTATATATATATATATATATATATATATATATATATATATATATATGTGTGTGTGTGTGTGTGTGTGTGTGTATGGGATATAAAACATAATCAACTAAAAATATAAATCTCCTTAGGAACTACATATGTACTTGTACACATATATCATCTACATAAACTATACAACTATATACATAATATCCATAAACATCGGTTAGGCATTTATACAATGACTATATTAGAGCGACATCACTAAAATTGGACCATTAATCTCATAACCCTCCATTAGTTGAATAAACTATTATGCTAATCTTATTTCATTTTCATATAAAGTATGATCATTATGGTTCGAATTACAATAAAAAGAAAACATAAGATTGTGAAAGAATCAACATAATATCCACACACTAGTGCAAAAGAGGTATTTTACGTATGTTATTTTAAGGTTTTTACGTCGGAAAAACGTCCGACGTCAATGTAGGAGACGTAAATTTACGTCAATTTTAAAAGCCGACGTAATATTATGTCAGAGATTTTTGAACACCGACGTAAAAAAGTTGTAGACCCAAAAAAGTTACAGAACGGGTCGTTTCAGATGAAGAAGAAGAAATATTAAATTTTTATTTAAAAAATATACAAGAAAAAATGTGTAACTGTTGACATATGTACATACCCTAGAGATGGACGAAAAAGTAGCGGCATGGTTCCTTGAGACTTGCATAAACTGTATCTCCCACAGCCTAGCAGCAAGCTTCCTCGTAGAAACCTTAGTGCTTTTCTTTAAACCTTTCCCAAGAATTCACAGGGGAACTGCAACTGCTATCACAAGACCTTCGACCAAGGGTGTTAGTGAGCCCTGAATTTGTATGTTTAGAACCCTCGTCAAAAATCGCACGACAAACAAAAACGTTTTTATGTTATGTACAAATGACGCGCGCGAAGAAAAGGAAATGATTGAGGGAAAATAAAAAACTCTTTTACGTCGGACTACATAGGAGCTGACATAAATTTAACAATCTATGTCAGATGTAGCTAATGTTCGATGTAGATTATTAAATTTACGTCGGCCTCTATGTAGTCCGATGTAAAAAAGTTTGCTTTATTTTTAAAATTGTTACCGCATTTTTTTTACGTCGGATATGTTTACATCCAACAAGAAAACGTAGACGTAAATTCTTACTTTTGCACTAGTGACAACAAAATGTGCAACTATACAATATAGACAATATAGTCAACATTCAATGCAACACTACTTAACAACTTTTAACTTATCAATAACATCATCTTATAAACAACACAACCAACATTATTATCATTTTATGAACATTAAAAAGAACAAAATGTTTTTTCTGTAAAAACTAAAAAAATATTTAATTTTTTTAAAATTACATTTACCAAAGTGACTAATATTGGCTGCCATTCTTAGCCACATGAAAACCAACTTCTAGAACAATGAATATAACATTTTTACCGTTCACTTTATTAATAATTAATTATTTTATCCAATATTTATCTCTTTTGTTGTTATGTTCTCTTTATTTTATGTACAGATTTATATTTTCATAATATTATAGTTATTATGTGTTAGTTTTTGCAAATAGAAACAGAAATACTTTTATAATATTATGCGTTAGACTCATTTTTCTCATAATATTAAATTTATTTTTTACATGGTATATTTTTAAAATAAGTCAAAATATGTATTATATATAAAGATAAAACATATTTATAATAAAATATTAGCTCTAAACTTTTTAACCAAATGAAATAGACACACAAAATAAAAAATTGTTCTTTCTTATCAGAAAAGTCTGATAAAGGATTATTTTTTACAAGGATTGAGCTCATATGAAAAAATAATAAATTAAATTACTTAAATCATGTGAAAGTAGTATATAATTAAATGATAGTATTGAAATTTTAATAAATTCAATAATCATAAATTTAAATTAAACCCATGGTTTATCAATATATCGATCAATACTTAATTACTTTTGTGATAATTATTCCTCCCACATGACATGTATGAATTGAAAAGGAAATTCTGGATAGTTATAACCCATTAGAAGATAGTAACATGTTTGGGAAAAAAGAAATAATGAATGATTAATATTAGTTCATTAAGAATCTATCTAATAATAAGTCATAGAGGTCGGTCAAAGGAACTAGGATTCCTCTTCCCTCTCCCCATCTTTTTATAAAAGATATATTCGTGAACTGAGGCTCAATGTTAAAAGGAAGAAAATGTCAAATTAAACGTTAGAACTGTTAAATTAAAAAAAAATAAGAATATTAAAAAAAAGAGAGAGGTAAATTTATAAATAAAAAAAAAGAGTTGTATATTTGACGTTGGGGCTGTATCTAATTCCCGGTAGCAGGGCCAATGATGTTTTGCACTATCAATATATTTTTTGTTAAGGAGGGCCAAGGACACAAAATAAAAAGATTTCTTTATACTTGAGTGCTTGATTGATTACGATGATTAGTTATTATGTATTCTTAGGTTAGCGTGTAGCAGACAGAAGAAAATGGCAGGAATGAGGACAGATGCAAAGTCAAGAAAAAGTGAACCCGGAGGGAGGGAGCCATACGCGAAACTAAAGTTGTACCTAGATAACTCATTCTATATTTACTTATAAGTTGCTTTATTCAAAATACAAATAGTTCATCAACACCAAACCTTTTTCAT